CGAGTCCCAGCTCTGCTCCCCGCCTCCGCGGCGGGCGGTGCGGAGCAGCGCGGAGCCCCCCCTTCTCCGGGGCGGTGCGGAGCGGCAGGAAGGCGCCCCCCGCTTCTTCTTCCCCGCGGCCGGAGGAAGCCTCGGTGGCCCGGGGGCGGCCTTTCCCCCGCCTCCCGACGGTCGCCAGCCGCCACGCCTCGGCTGCCCTCGCGTCCCCCTGCGCTGGACGGACGGACGGACGGACGGACGGAGAGAGGAGCGGAGGGAGCTTGGCGGCCCCCCACCCTGCCTGGGCGGCCATGGGGCCGGGGGCGCTGGCCGCGCTGCTGTGCGCACTGGCTCTCCTGGGCTGCCCGCGCCCACCATCCGCCGCCGCCGCCCGCCCCGGTGAGTGGCCGCCCCCGGGGAGGCTGCCGGGGGTCGGGAGGGGAGGGCAGGGGAAGGGAGGGCAAGCGGGGCGCCCGCGTTCCCGGTGGGGTCCCCCGGGAAGCGGTGACCGGGCGACCGGGGGGGGGACGGAGAGAGAAGCCCGGTCCCGCACCGCCAAACCGTTTGCCTCGGCGGGGGTCCCGGAGCCGTGCGCCTTGGCAGAGGGAAATGCGTGAAGAAAACGCGCGTTAGCCCACAGCATCGTTGGGCTGCACGTAGCCGGGTCAAGGGGCTCCTGCTTTGAAGTTTTAATTGGCGCTCAGGATGGAGTTTCCCTTGGCCTTCTGTGAGACGCCGCCCTCGGCTTGTTCTCCGAGCAGCGGCAGGAGAACAGGTCACAACGTAAAGTTAGCTTGGGCAAAAAGACGTCTGACAGGTACTTCTTGAGAATTTTTATAATTTTTTTTAATATAGGAAATGCCATAGATCTGAAATACATAGATCTGAGAAAACCTTTACCCGTGGCATTGCGTCTATTGATGGTGAAGAAAGGTTTAGAGTTCTCCCATGGCTAAGGAGGTGGCTGGGCAATAGCCAGTTATGACGGAACGAAGTGAACCAGGCTGGCAAGACTGGTGCTGGTGGACTTCCTTAAGCGAGCATTGCCTTTCATTAACAACTTCAGAAGATAGAGTGCCAGCTGCGTTTTCAGGTGGCACAAAGTTTGCAAGATCTACCAACGCAAAAGAGTTCAGAATATCCACCTCGAGTAGATGATCTTCATGGTTATCCAATTAGAAATAGCACTAATAGCAGTGCTATAACCAGTGAGACCATGGATCGATCCATCTAGCTCAGAGCTTGTCTGACAATGCAGATGGGGAGAAGGAAGGTAAGGGAAGACATGCATGCATGTAACCACCCAGTTTCTGGTAGAGGTACAATGGTACAGTATGCGGTTGGAGATTAGCAACGTTTTTTCTGTAAAATTTAAACATTTCTTTCAGTCACATAGCAATCGTAGTGCTGCTGTACAAATAGCTGAGCCACATGAGATGCCTGCTGAGAAGACTCGGTTCAAGCTCTGCGCACAGAAAAGGGCTGATTTGAGGAACAGCTAAAGGGAAATTTCAGAGCACGGCATAGTTTGCTAAAATGAAGGCTGAAGGGGGACAGAGCTACTGTTTGTAATTATGGTGAAGGGAAAGTATCAGAGAAGGCAAATAATTTTGGCTAAACGCCTTTTTGGCACAAGGACAAGTGTCCTTGAAGAGATCGCAATCATCTTCATATTGGAAGTCTAAGGAAAATGTCTTTATAAAAAAAAAAAAAGAAGAGGGTGGTGTAAAAGACAAACTACACGTGTTAATGCTGGAAAATACATTGTACTGTTTGGTGCTATTCTTCCAATTTATGGAAACATTCAAACTTGTTTTCCTGCCTTTTGCAATTACAGTTTGCAGTTAGAGCACTCTGAATTACTCTATTTATTTGCTGCTTCCTTAGGAAATAATGATTGAAATAGCTACTGTATTACATCACTAGGAAAAGAAAAATTCAAAGCAAGTTACTTCACATGCAGTAAGAACTAATAAATCCTGGCTGTCGGAACATGTCTTCTGCTCTCCTTGTGCTTGCTGCCACTGTAATAATGCCGTTTCCCCACTGTCCTGGATAACCTTCCCTGTTTCGACCACAATGTACTTGATTCCCATCGCCCAGGCACTGCTGTAGCCCAGGGTCTGTTCTGCCCTTGGACCTGTGGCTTCTCCCCTGCTTTTACCTTGGTCCTTCCATACCAACAGTTACCGCATTACTGGCCTGTGCTGGTCCTGCAGACAGGTGAAAAAGCAACAGCTTGGCAGTGGGTCATCACTGGGTGCTTGCAGATTAGCTGACCAGGTGCTGCCGAGGTGGCTGGCTGAGGTCTGAACCTGCCCTGACTTTCCTGTGTTGGGATACTGATGGCCGGAGACAGAGATGTTATCATTGCTTAAAGCCAGCACCTGTGGCCAAAGAGATGGAGAAAGGAGAGCCAACAGGAGCAGATGTCTGGTCGCAAGAAAACAATACTTCAGGAAAATGTGCTCAAACTGTTGCTAACATCACTCCTGTAATACGGTAACAAATTCTGTATAAACAGAGACGTGGGCTATAGGAGATTTTTTAAAGACAACACAGTGTTTGTTTTTACAAATGCAATTAATTGTCATCTGTACCAAAAGATTATGTCTTACATTGTTTATAGAATTTCACATTCTGGGTGTGAGTACCTAATTTATGGCCCACTGAGTAATTTAGATTTTAGATGTTTATCCCTGCGGATTATACAAAGGGGAGATAAGAGAAACTGACTTTTTGTTATAAGCCGGCAGTATGGGTGCAGCTGTCATCACTGATGCCCAGAAATTGGGATTAATTGTTGTCCAGAGGCAAATTTGGAACCTATTTCATTGGCTTGAGTAGGAGACTATTCTTTAGTTTTCTGTCTTACAAAGATATCCTTTGGGACATGAACATTGCCAGTTTATAACATCCTGTCCAGAATTATGGGTCTACAGAAATACTTTGAAATTTTCTTCTGGAGCTCAAGAGTGCTTTTTAAGAGTGATAGAAGCTGTTGTATTTTTTTCTCTCTACTTCTTTCACAGAGCAGTATGTGCAGTAGCCCTTTGCATATGAAAGGAGATGTAAAAGGAAACTATAGCTCTATGAAAAAAAACCAAACAACAGGGTCTTTCAGGGTACACGGTATATACATGTGCTGATCATGAGACCAACAATATGTAGGACTTGATGGAAAACAACATAGTATAGATTGTTAAAATCAAACAATCCCAAACTTACTGAGTTTTATATATCATTCCTCTATGTCCTTGTTGGAGCCTCGGTGCAAAGACCACAGGCAATAAAAGAAAACTTCAGGCAATTTGAGTATCGTACTGATTCCACCTAGGTTTTGCCTTTCAGTTTCTTACTGGAAGCAAAGAAAAGACTGTATGTGTATTGTTCAGTATCCTTACTGCACAATACAAGGATAAAACCTCAATGCTTTATTGTGTTCTTTCTTTGTTCTTGGTTTCTTAGTCCTGTTCTTTCATACCTATTTATATTTTATAAATAGTTTGATAGAGCTGTTAACTTTATCATAACAGCAATGAGAATATTATTAGTCATAAAAATAGTAATCAGGTTTGACCTCTTCCAAAAGGGTCATAGGACAACCTAGCAAAAAACAGGATGACTGAACAGTTATGATCATTATACAAGCTTTACCTCTCTTTTCCTAACAGATTATCTGTATTATTAAAAATTATGTAAGCTGTAGTGAAATATGCTTTAGACAAGTGGTATCTACAGCTTTAAAACAGCTAGAAAGGACTATCGGACAGATTCTGGTATAGCTGTAGCTATGTAAGAGTAGTTTTAAAATCTTTCCTTAGAACTACTGTATTGGCTGTCTTGTACTATCTCATCTTGTAGGTAATGCCTGTTTTCCATTACTAATCTCTGTGTTTATTGTCAAGGTTCATTAAGATCTTTTGAAATAATGTAACATAATTTCATCCTCTTTGCTTCTGTGTATAAATCTCTTATTGTTGGCTTTTTCAAATAAACACAGACACAAAAGGAACCCAGAACCTCAGGGCAGTAACTATCTTCCTTTCTGTTTTAGAAAGCATGATGTGCTCTATTCATTTTTTTTTAATAATACACAGGCATGGTATCATACAAACATACACGCAGCTTAGCAAAGGAAATGAACTCATACGTGGCTATCAATTTTTTAAATTAAAATTAAATTGAATTTCATCAAGAAAGTTTAAATACACACTCTCTGTATTATCAAGTGCAAAGAAATAGCAAGTTTGTGGTCTCATTGCATTTTTCCACAGCGCTGGTTTTCAAGTAATACTTCGTGTCATCTAAGTTCAAGGTGGAGACACGGAGAGAGCACAGGACACACCATGGAGGTGTTGGTAACAGCATGAAGCTTATGCAAAGAACACATAATTTTCAATAAGTTAAAGTGTTATCCCAGAGAATTTTAACTAAGCTACAATTATTTATGAAATGTTTTTGTCCTGAATTATTGTAATAGGATTTTACTTTTAGAAAAGTTTGATCATGGAGACTGTAATAAATCCATTCATCTAAGAAAGATGTAAATAAGTTGGCTGCATGAATTCAGGATATAATTAAAATTATTACTAATGTTCAAATAACTAAGAGTAATAGCTAAGACAAAGGTCAGTAGTCGATAAAAGTTAACTGGCCCAATCATCCTGACCTTCAAAGACTAGAATCATCATTGTCTTCTATTTCAGAAATTTTCTATTTTAGAAATGTCAGTGGAAGAAATATGTATTCACCACATTCAAAGTCTTGAAGTCACAAAACTTGTATGTATGGGAGATACCAGAGGTACTGTTCAAGATTTTTTTGTCACTCTTACTGATGTCTTTACCATGGAGGCAAGCCTCTGGGCATGAGAAATTAGGGTTTTTTCATTCAAGTGAAATTACAGTGCTCCAAAAAGGGATGCATACCGATGGCATCAGTTGTGATAGATATCTGTTACAGTGGTCATTAAGTACTGAAAATCACCTAACTATTTGATGACAGCCACAGGTTGAAGTTAGAGGTCAATATAACTTGTGCTGCGCCTGAACTGCTGAACTAGGTGCTGACTCTTTGAGCCATCCAGCTGTTCGGACTAAAATTTTAAAGTAGAGTTAAAGATTAAGGATCTGCCTTTTGTTAGTCTTTGGTTTTAGACAGTAGAACAGATCCTTGTATAAACTGGTTTGGTGCCCTTCTGTGCTAACACTGAATCTCACATAACTTCTGTGCTTTTGTGTTTCAGTAAAAGTACTAAATTGTTTCTATTGCAGTCTATGCAACAAGCTCCCAGGCTGAAATTCTCATCCAGAGTCTTTTTTTTTCCTGGCCTGCAGAGGCTGCAATCTAGTCACTTTGCATACGAAAACACTTCCCCTCTTTTGTCCCCTCTGACCCCAGAACGTACTGTGACACAGCTGATACGTACAGCACAGCAGCTTTAAAAAAATCCCCAAGTTTGCCAACCAGTCCTCTGATTTCCCCCCACATTCAAGTCTACATTTCACCAAAATTCAAGCTGAGCAGGGCCCTTCTCACACAGCCCGTGCACAAAGGGGTAACTGCCGCTTAAGGCTGCAGCCACTCCTTTCTTTGCCATCTGCGTCCTTCAAATGCTTTTGTTCTCATCTGCATAAAAAAAATGCTCTTGAATTACTGTAGAACAAATACTTGCGTCTAGCAAGTAGCATCTTAGACTAGTGAATCATGCTGTGTGCTTTCAGGTCACTGATTTAAGCTAACACAACCTTCATTTTCATTTCAGTTGGGTAGGATTCAACAAAGGATCAGTTGCATGCATTAAATGCACGATTACTTAAGGAGTAGTAGTAACTCTCTCACTTCTGTCTGCCCATAATAAGCTTGAATTATCCTATGCCTTACTAGATTAAGCCGAAGCTGAAAAAGACAGTCTTTCAGAGTATCTCCATAAATACAACTTTTCTGAAATAATGTCTCAAGTAGCTTGCTACATTTGAAAAGCAGAGATAACCTGTCCTGACACCTTTCTCCTCAGTCACAGTCACTGAATGGTGCTGCAGAAGACCCAGCTGTAGAGGGAACACTAGTGACAAGCTTCAGAAGTGCCCCGAGGCACACTCAGGACATGGTGTCCTGGATGATGCATGCCTGGGGTAGGATAAGTAGAATTGAGGGAGTGTTTTAGTGCAGTCTGTGGCTACCTGTCTGATATAAGCAAAAGGTTGATCCACGTCCACCTTGAAAACTCCATATAGACTTCTGCCATCTGTCTTGATGGGGGCCATCAAGGTGAAGAAGGTGTCTCCAGAGCACACAGAAATACTTCAGTAACTTGATGCAATGTAACTTTTTTTTACTTTGATGATGAGTACTTCTAATGGGAATTCTGTGTACGAATACTAGTATTTGTCCCAGCACCTCATTTTTTACAAACTCCATGAAGGGTCTGGCAAAGGCAGATCAAGGGTGGCAGATTTACTGCTGTGTTTTTTATTAAAGTAGCCCAAAGAGAACATAGATGAGGTTGGGTCCTTAAGCACAGACAGAGCCACTACCATAAAAAGCTTCCAAGCTAAGACATAGGAGACAATGGAGGACATCCTACCCAAACTTGGAACTAAAATAAAAAAGGCTGGACTAACATCTGTGGGTAGTCTGCACTTTGAATCAGGGATTAAACTTACTATTATTTTTTGTTGGTAATATGGTGTTCACTTTCCTTTTTTGAAATACGTTTTCACTTCCCCATAGGTTGTAAATATTTGCTTACTAATCTTAGTGCTTTATTTTTCAGCCCCTCCACTTAACAGCAGCTTACCACGCATCAGAAGTTTTATAAGCTTTGGCGGACATGAGGATGACCGTATACCTACTGAAGGTGATACTGAGGATGACTTGGAAGCTGGATCAGGAGCCACCAATCAGACTGAATCAGTCCTACATAAGCAACGAAGAGTGTCAGTGCAAACAGCAAGATACCTGACTAGTCCGTGGCTGACGCGTTTTGTTCCTTCGGTTTACACCGTAGTGCTTGCGCTGAGTCTCCCTCTGAACGTTACAGCGATACTCGTGTTCCTGAAAAAAATGAAAATTGAAAAGCCAGCTGTAGTATACATGCTGAATTTGGCCTTTGCAGATGTCCTATTCGTAAGCGTGCTTCCTTTTAAGATTGTTTATCACTTTTCTGGAAACAACTGGGTTTTTGGACCTGAAATGTGCCGTTTCGTCACTGCTGCCTTCTACTGTAACATGTACTGTTCAATAATGCTTATGACGAGCATTAGCTTTGATCGTTTCTTAGCAGTAGTGTATCCTATGCAGTCTCTTGGGTGGCGTACGTTAACACGTGCCTCACTGATTTGTTTCATCATATGGCTTGTAGCACTAGCTGGGGTTATACCTTTTCTCATCAGAGAACAAACAATGGAAATACCTAAGTTAAATATAACTACTTGCCACGATGTGCTAAGAGAATCTGAACTTCACAGCTATTACCTCCACTTCTTCACCATCTTCTCTTCCGTGTTTTTTGTAGTGCCATTTGTAATTTCTACTGTCTGTTACGTGTGTATCATTCGATGTCTTAGTTCTTCTACCCTTGTTGCAAAACAAAATAAGAAGACACGTGCCTTGCTGTTGTGTGTGGCTGTGTTTTCTGTTTTTGTGATTTGCTTTGGACCAACAAATGTCCTCCTCTTAGTTCATTATATCCATTTTTCTTACGACAACAGCTTAGAGTATCTCTACTTTGCGTATCTACTCTGTGTTTGTATCAGCAGCATTAACTGTTGCATTGATCCCTTTATTTACTACTATGCTTCTTCTCAGTATCAGAGACAACTTTTCAGTCTCTTCAATTGTAAAAAGGCTTTTGATCCTAACAGCAGTAACAGCAGTGGCCAGTCAATGTCTACCACTAGTAGAAGGGCTACATGCTCTACTGATGTGAATAACAGCGTCTACAGGAAATTACTAGCAATGCATTGAGGTGGTGTGTCTTACACATGCTTAATTTTTGGAAAATTTCAGACAAAAAAAGAAGACTGTATCGTATCCGAGAAATACAAAACCTTAAACAGAGCTGTTCTACAATACATAGTTCTATGGATTCATTATAGTAATGCACAATTCAAATTATAACTATGTATATGTATATATATAGCATATGTAAATAAGTAAATGTAGAGGGGAAAAGTAATTTCTAAATAATGTTGCTGAGTGTTTTTCAAATAAACTCTTTTTTTTCAGACAAATCCTTTGCATTGTTAGTTCAGTTTATTGCAGGGGTTTTATGAAATCCCATATTTGGATTTTGAACTGTATCAGGTTGATTAAATTCTTACTTATGGACCCACTCCACCTGTCCAGTGCTTCCTGAACAAAATGAAAGTATCTTTCCAGGTGGGTATTATTTTGCATCTTGGACACTACAGTGGTTTATTTTACATTCTTATATATTCCACTTCACAACAGCCTGCATGGGTTTAGGAATGTGAGCAACTGAAAATCAGGTGGAATGTATCAGGGGAGATGATAGTTCTCAGCAGCTAGATAATTCTCCTTAGGTGTTCCTACCATTAGCGTACGCTAAGCATCTTGGTTAGGAATATGGTGTTTTTCACAACTGATTTCACAAAAAAATGTGAAATTTTATTTAATAATTAATCAATGTTGAATGGCTCTCCAGAAAATATACTGAAAAAAACATATTCATCATCTTGCTATGTAGTTCGCAAACGTGTGCTTTTGTGCACATGACTAAACATCTTGCATGTGTGTAGGACTTGGAAATATTCTTTATCCCTGATAAGTCTAGGTGGTTTTTTATATTTTACATTTATATTTATATTCCACATCTACTAAAATTTCTGTGGTGTAGAGCCCAATAGCTAACTCCATTCTGTGTAGCATGCTTTTACAAGGGATGCTGAAACCAAATAACAGTAATTCAGTTTTAGAAAAAAGCATGTAGGTAATAGCACTGTACAGGAAAATGGAAATCAAATTAAGTAGGATTTTGGTTAACGTAAGATTTGCCACAGGACTCTGCCAAGAAGACAGCAATGGATAGAAGCTGTCTTCAGTCCAGCACAAGTGGTAAGAAACCTAATCTTTCTGCATAAAGTATGACAGTGAAAAACATTTCTAACAATAATCTGTTACTGGCTGGGGTCTGTTCCTTAATGGACTGAAGCATGATGAAGTATTACCAGGGTCTGTATTTGTTCTCAAGTGCTTGCCACTTTCTAAGTACATGAGCAGTAAAAATATATGTATATGTGGTTTGCAAGGCTAAAACCCTGCAAGTACTTATGAGACATATCGTTACATTCTCATTTTGTGTAACATCATATTAGGGGTTGTTTTGGTTTTCAACAAAATCCAAATGCATCTTAAAACTATCAACATTTGGTTCTTGCTAGCAGAAAAAAATTACCTCTGTCCTTCCTGTTGTTACTTACTGGGGGGACCGCTTTTTTGATTTATTACATAGTTGGGATTTGTTTCAATGTCATGAAGTTCTCTTTCCATGATAGTGGTCTATTTTTAGGTAGCCATAAGAGACCACAAGTCTGCTTCGCAAGGGTCAGTGTCACATGCTAGGAGGGAAGGAAAAGTACATGAGAAACAGCTCGGTAATCACAGTGATTATTTACTTCGTTTTGCTCTGTGGTTGGGTCGTTTCACTTGGAACCTCTGTGTGCTCAAGAACATTTGCAAATAAGCCACTTCTTCCTACCTTGTAGAGGGGAAAAATGAGGGCTGAAGGCAGCTGTTTATCCTCATGGCTTAGAACATCAAAAAAGATCCTGAATAAGAAGGCCTAAAAAAGATTTTGTGCATGTTTGTAAACCAGTGTCCAAGCTGTGCCATGCACACTGCTGAAGTTGGGTTTGCTGATGATTCTGGCTTGCATGCAAATGAAAAAAAAAAAAAAAAAAAAAAAAAAACCAGGCAGTTACAACACAGAACCCTGAAATAAAGAGAACTCACAAAACTAAGCAGACTTCTTGACTTCTGGGTAACTAGCAAAAGTGCTGAAGTTGCATTTGGGAAGTATTTTTATGCTGCCTAAGCGTGTTTGAAAACACAATTCTTGACAAGCTTGACAAGTGAGTCCATGTGAACCTCATGAGGTTCAACGAGACCAAGTACAGGGTCCTGCACCTGAGTTGGTGCAACCCCCAGTGTCAATACAGGCTGGGGGATTGAATGGATTGAAAGCAGCCCTGCCGAGAAGGACTTGGGGATACTGGTGGATGAAAAGCTGCACATGAGCCAACGATGTGCGTCTGCAGCCCAGAAAGCCAACCATCTCCTGGGCTGCATCAAAAGAAGCGTGGCCAGCAGGTTGAGAGAGAAGACTGCCCCTCTTTTACACTGTGGTGGGACCCTACCTGGAGTACTGCATCCAGCTTTGGGGCCCTGAGCACAGGAAAGACATGGACCTGTTGGAGAGGGTCCAAAGGCGGCCACAAAAATGGTCAGAGGGATGGAGCACCTTTGCTATGAGGAAAGGCTGAAAGAGTTGGGATTGTTCAGCCTGGAGAAAAGAAGACTCCAGGAAGACCTTATTGTGGCTTTTCAACACTTAAAGGGGGCTTCTGACAAAGATGGGGACAGATTTTTTTACTAGGGTCTGTAGCGACAGGACAAGGGGTAACGGCTTTAATCTAAAGGAGGGTTACATCAGATTAGATGTAAGGAAGAAATTCTTTACAATGAGAATGGTGAAACTCTGGCACAGGTTGCCCAGAGAGGTAGTAGATGCCCCTTCCCTGGAAACATTCAAGGTCAGGTTGGACAGAGCTCTGAGCATCCTGATCTTAGTTGAAGATGTCCCTGCTCATTGCAAGGGTGGGTTGGACTAGACCTTTAAGGGTCCCTTCCAACATAAACCATTCAATGATACAAGCATAAGCATCCTACTTACATCGATCCTCTGCAAGTGCTTCTAGCAAGCTTCTAGCTAGCCTGCAAATGCATGTTTCTGCTACATACGGAGAGATGATTTGCAAGTCAATTGCCACAAAGCATAGGACTTGCTAAAACATACAGCAAATACCACCTTTTCATAGCAAATAAAGCATTGACAGTTATTCCTTCTGTTAAGATCCCACAGCTAGTGTTGCATCCCTGCTTTCTGTTTGTATCTCGTTGATTGGATTGCAAAAATTAGCAAACTGCTATGTGACTGGAGGAGTCTCATACCAAGGCAACGGCAGCTCAACTCTTACCGAACCTGGCATTTCTTTGCAACTGCTTAGTTGGAAGGTGCTGCATTTCTCAGTGTCTACTTTTGCTGGAGTATTTGCCGGCAAGAAGAAGAGCAGGACCTACTCAAGCAGCAGCACTTTATAGAGACAATCTTAGGCATGAACAGCATTTGCAAAGCAGGTTGTAGTGCTGAGCATGGCCATGCAGCAAAGCACAATGTGGCAGCCTGTTTGAGGAAACTGAACCAGCAAAGTGCTGCAATTTAGGCTGACATGCTTAAGCTAACAGGAAAAGCTAACCACCTCTTCATGCTTGATGAACCCTTGCACTGCTAGCTGGGAAAGAAAATTAATTGCTTGTTTCAAGGCGAAGAGCAAGAAGTGAAAATGCGACCAAAAGAAATGAAACTTGTCAATGTTACATGCCATTTCACCCATATCCTCTCCTCCTCATTCTTTCTTTTTTTTTTCATAATGTCGGGGTTAAGCTGCATTACCTTCTGTATGAAGCAAGCTAGCAAACACGTGCCAAATAACATTTGGAGACGAGAAGGTGTCAGGCACTAAACATGCATTCAAAAACTTGCTAATGTTCCAGATATGCCAGCTTCATGTTGTGGCAATATTGGCAGGAGCAGCATTTTTAATCAGCATGGTTCCTATTGGCAGGACACTTCAAATGGTGGCTGTCATTGGTATAACTTATTTCACAGGGGAAGGTTTGCTTATTTTAGCATGGCAAGAATTTTGCAGGGATTGGCGTGTTCACACTTAGAGGCATTTGATCAGTTACTGCCAAGCTCGCATCTGCCTCACAACCGGCTCCCTGCTGCTTGACTGCAGAGTATGGTCCACTGGCTGTTAGCTCTGTTGCCCTGTTTGGTTGAATCCTGGCCAAAAACGTGAGCATGACTGCAAAGTGTGTCCACAAAGCTTTGTGTCAGGCAAACTGGATCAGGCCACTGGGTCTCTCCCTACCTGAGATGGGATCCAGAAACGGAAAGAGAGTATGAGCTGGGTAATAGACCACCAGCTATAGCTTCGTACTAGAGCTCTCCAGGAGCTGGGGCCGGGGGGGGAAAGGGAAGGGCTTGGTGTGCTGGGTGCAATATTTAAGTAACTTCCTGGGTAAAGCTCTTTTTTATTGATCATGTTGATCTTCTTTGATCTGATCAGAGCTTGATCTTACAAGATGCTGAGAAAATCAAAAAATGAACCTCTCGCATACTTAGAATTAATGACCCACATAAGTGCTTTCTCATGACATTTGGCATTTTGCAAGTGCTATAGAAATGGTTTAGTGATGACCAGTAGAGCTGGAGAAGCTGAACAAACAGCATGCTATAACCCAAGCCAACACTAGAGAGCATTAAAAGAACTGTTTTAATTTGACTTGCTGGGGAGGAAACCATTAGGAACCAGATCTGAACATCACACTGAACTGCGAAGTACTGATTAGCCCTCTAAAGAAACATGTGGGCTTGGAAAAGTGAAAAAGTATTGGAATTGTAGTGGAAAAGCGGATGGGTTTATTTTAAACAGAACCTGTAAAAAGGTTCAGCAAAGTTTTGGGGAATGATTTTTCTTATCTTGGTGCTACCAGCCTTATAATAGCAGTGCCTATAGTACCACAAACAAGCCTCTCTCCTGAAAAGCAAGGTTTGACATTCAACCATGGCATTAAGCTCAAATGCATTGCACACAGGTTAAGGTCAGAGCTGATAAAATCAACATACAATGAAAATCTGGCTTGGTGTTCCCTCACCAAAATAAAAATAAGTCAAATTCACCTACATTCCATAGGAAGCCTGGGAAAGTCACTGGCCTTGCTATTTTTTGATCAGTTCTGGGTTATGCGTTAGGAATTTGGGGTCTTTGGGGTCTTTTTGTGAGGCACTGTTATGTACTAGAGGCAGTAATCCTTGCGAAGTTCTCACAAATGTTTTTTCATCCTCGTGGATGGGGCAGCGTGTGCCCAGGCAGCAGCAAAGCTGGGCCTGGACACAGGACTCTCCCAGGTCATCCTCCCGCGGGGA